AWAAAGMRCAATACTACATGTATTAGRCCATACTAGAATTGCGTTGTGTCCCACTCTTTGTGATGCCTTGTAGATCGTAAGCTTGTTATCGAGGCGGTGTTATTGTGGCTTATTGATGTCATTTTGTAAGATTTTCTCATAACACCCAGCGTTAGTCTTTGTCTYGGCGAACGCTCCTTRAAAATAGCAAACARACTAYTGCGAAACTTTTCRCTGAGRAATAAGACCAGAAATGGAGATATGGCGCTGTTYGTGTGACATAACCAATAAAACATGACTAGAACGACGCGAGGAATCTTCSTATAMAGCTCGAAGTTGAAGTACACTATCATATGTGTAATATGTGCCGGAAGCCACAACACAGCAAACACCACCACGACGATSACCAACATTTTTACTACTTTCTTCTTTGCTCGATCGGCAGCGCGTTTTACATTTGCAAGGACGTTTCCTGGAATTTTTCGATWCCAAAGTTTAAAGCCAATCTTAAGATAAAGTAACGCCATGAAGAGAAGAGGAAGGACATACAACAACACAAAGATAACCATGTAGTAAATTCTTGTTGCAGATATGGTGTTCAGTGGAGACCAGTCTATCATACAATAATATTCCATGTCGATGTCCAAGCCGACCGTATACATATATAAATATGGTGACATGCAAATAAAAGAGGATACCCATATGAAAGTGGTGGTGACTTTGCCATTACGAATGATACCAAGTCTCTTGAACGGGTAAATTACAGCAAAGAATCTATCGATAGAGGAGAGCAACAGCGAAAAAATTGACGCGGCAACGGGCAAAGTGTAAGCAAAATGGATGAGTTTACAAGTTAATGAACCAAGTGTTCCTCCAATCCATGGRTTACYKGAGAACACRTATGCAACCGAATATGGCATGACTACAAAAGTCACCAGAAGATTTGCAACAAACATGTTCACCAARAGAATATTGGTCACTGAACGCGTGCACCTGATTCTGAAGACAATATAGATGGCCAAGAAGTTCCCAATCAGCGATATCGGGAATATGACAGCGTAGGCCGCTGCTGCAAAAATCTTTTCGACACTGYTCGATTGGAATCCATAGAAAGCGCCACTAGCATTCGTTGAATTTGCTCCTTCCATGTCTACTGCAAGAAAAAAGATGAGTTTTGAAAATATGAAATGTGATGACTTACCAAAACAAATAAGTTGTTATTTGGTCTTTCGAGCAATTACGCTCGTGTGGTGCTTTTATTTGTGCGRGTAAAAGCAGTTGTCAAATTTCGCTTTATGTCCGCAAATTAACGAGCACTCTATCAAACACACTCCTTTTTTTCAAAAAAGTGTGTCCGCGCACGCGAACAGCTGCTCGTAATGGTCTTGMAAACACGAGCATAATAGCATCCATATAATTTTAGAGACCATATCAACCAGATATCAAATTCCCGAGCAACCTGCTAAGAAATCGATTYAGTTTTCTGTAAAAACATAMGTACGCACGATGTTACGGTTTCCGTGTGTCGGCAATATTGAGTATTGACTCGAAAAATGGCGGACCAATTAATTTGAATATACTTGTTGTGAAGTGGACAGCTACTCATCGCTTTAAGAGACTTTTTTTTGTTTATTTATAAAGAGTAGATTTTTTTTCATTTGTTTTTCAATAGATTAGCACGCAATTGTTTTAATCGATGTTAATAATAAAACATAAATTCCTTCCATTTTTTTTTTGAAGAACAGGTCGGACCATAATTTGTCTTTTTAACCAGTACCCATGCTCTTGGGATGGTTTTGTTTATACAGCAATCGTCGGCGCATTCGCATTTCTGTCCGCCTTCGATTCTAATAAATTTATACTTTGGAGTATAGTTTTATTATTGTTTCCAATGAATCAGATGTCAATTATTTCAATATTACATGTTTCTTTGTAATTGATGGACAACAAAAGATTGCAGTATACCACATTCTAGATCTAAAGCTGGGCATTCTGTATTTATTATTATTATTATTATTATTATTTATAAGCACCTGGGTAACCAGTGGTCACTAATCAAGATGGCGGCTGTAGGGCAACATGGTATTAAGGTAATTACGTCATTGTCCTTACATATTTAAGATGGAAAGCGCTCTACAAACACTGTAAACAAACAATTCAATTCTTTGTAGCCTCTAGGCAGTTCAACGATAAACTCTGAAATTACCTTTTATTAAATGTATCTTATTTTAGACTTTTAGTTCAATTCAATAAGTTACTGATGAAGACAATTTGAATTTAGTTATATCCAAATAAAGAATACTTCAGCCAGTTAGGTCAAATATGATGAAACTAATTTCGTCGATTCAAAAATCTCAATTCATGAAGCTGAAGTGTGGTACGGTGCGTCTCTAATAGCAACTTATGACGTCATACAAKATTCTGATGAACAAAATAAAGTCCAGCGGCGTACGTCTACATGTTTTTGAAATGATTACGGCTTAGTTTTAGCGCGCTTATAAACAGGCTTAATTAAAAAAATTCGCTGGAAACGTTAATTAGGTTATTAAGCAATGATACTATTTRTTGTTTAATAATCTAGTTGAATTCTGAATGCGAGTTTGAATTTAGAATGCCACGATCAGTGCCGAATTTTATAGTATGAGAAACGGTTGAACTTTTATACTCTGGCTAATTCTATAAGTTACTAACGAAAATTCTGTTATATGTCATACATGTAGGCAAGATTTCACTTTTTTCAGGGAAAACGGTCATTTCCCCCTAGTGTTCACTGGGAAAAATCGCGCGCCTTAACTAAAGATTGTAAATTTGATGTAAATAAGATGTAAGTGTCCAAAATTCTGTAAATTTGATCAGTGTAAATGATTTCCATTAAATTTACAGAATTTTGGACACTTACATGATATTTACATCAAATTTACAACCTTTAAGCGCGCGATTTTTTTCCAGTGGTTTGTTGGCGAATGGTTCAATTCATACTAGCTAGTTGCCCCATACTGTCTAATTAGAATCTAATCCAAATTTAAAATTTTTAATAGGATAAGAGATACAAGGTTTTTAAGGCAAACATAAGGATAATAGTGCTATTTTTATATCAGGATAGTAGATTGTACTCCACGAGAGCGTAAAAGGCATGCGCACGATGGAAAAACCTTCTAATTTGATTCAGAAGCACTCATGACGCTCCCCTCTTTACAAAGTAGAGACAGTCAATTCATTTTTAATTAAGAATYTCATTGCTTCATACGCTTCTTTTAATTCATTATCTCTAAACGTTTGGGCTTACTAAATATATCACAATCATAATCGTAAAATATTCAAACGTAAAATATTCAATCTATAGAATGATCGATTATCAAGGATCTAAAATAAACGAATTTCAGACGTATTTTGTAAAGGTACATGATTTTCTTTTTGAATGGAGTGTTTTTGAGCTTTTTCATTCAATTATAGTTCTTATCGAGAGATGCATTCTGACAACTATTATTTCAGAATGTTAGTTCAGTAGACACTGTAGATATAAAGATAAAACTTTTGGTATATCAATAACAACTTGATAACGTCATAGTTATGCCTACGATACCAATAGAGCTGCCGGCTATAGGTACTTTAATTTAATGTAGTCATTTTTAAGAAGAAAGTGTCTCAAGATGACGCCACTATATAATCTGAAGCCAGCGATATTGATGCCTTTGTCCTTACAGCTGACAAAATCAGCAAATAACACAGACATATCAATTCACTGACGCATATACCGCTATACTATTTCTTTAGATTAGATTATACTCCACACTTTCTAAGACCAGTGTCTTGTTTAAATTAAAGTTTGTAGATGGAGGTTTTTTTATTTGTTTAATATTATTATTATATGATTGCTGTTATTATGTTTTTGTATTGGCGCCTGCGGAGAATAAAATATGAAGTGAACGACGTGCGAACCGACAATGTATTTACAGGTTTTGCTTTTTTCGAAGAAGGCTATTCTTATATATTCTATTAGGTCTTTTAAGTTAATTAGTATGTTTTGGCGACAGTAAGTCTATTTAGTAAACACGCCTTATATTTAGACTAACACTGTTAGATTTAGCACACAGCTTTTTCAATCATATTTACATCAAATTTACAATCTTTAAAGTGCGCGATTTTTTCCAGTGTCTAATTGGATGACGAACCGTGATTTTTTTTCTTCATTCGTGCTATTAATTAATACTCCACGCGTGCTATTTATATTGCAAGAATCTATCCCAAAAGTCTTTGCGAATGATCTATGCGATCAAAAGTTTAGATTTTCATGTCTAGACCAAGCAATCTCAGTCAATAATAGTTTTTGATTAAACCGAATGCATAGATAACGCTTCATCTGCATAATAAAATTTTTCTTTTTCCTTTTTTTAATACTAAAAGTATTTATTTCTATTATTCTGTACTAATGCCAGTTAAGTTAGTAAGCAGTGCATAGAGAATCTATAACGAAAAAGATTATTGAAGAGGTCACTATCAGATATATCAATATGAATAATATGAACGTTCAGATAATGAAGAGTGAAGCGACGAAATATTGTACAGAGAAAAAAAGATTCAAATGAAAAGCTTAAGATAAATACCAAATCATACATCACTTGCATAAACCATTTCTGAATACAAAATCATGGTGCATTGTGGTCTGGATTCAGTACAAACAACRGCATATTTGGCAGAATGAAAAAATGGTTGTACCACAATGCAATGCAAACTGCTATTCAAAGAAAAGGCATTTGCAATGAAGATTTTTAATAACTGAACATCGAGATATTATCTTTTTCAAAAAAAGTGAATAATGCWGGATACCTGAAGATGATTTTGCTGTTCACAAAATGTTTTAAAAATTCATCTATATTTAATATTTGCATTTCATAATTTTGCMCAGGGACACAAAGCAAGAGGAATCAGCCCGTTCAACCTTGCMAGCCCACTTTATATACAGTACATCCTTCTAAAATATTGATATACTAATGAYTGACGYCACCACGAAACAATTGCTTAAATTTGTAAAGCACTTCAAATCATGAAAAATGCAGATAAACATACAGAATTGTATAAATTAGAGAAATGCTTTCATATGGGAAAATCACTATTCGGTATTYCAGAAGAAAAAAAATAAGTGAGTGTGCTTTTGTGTAATTTTTCTCACTCGGGAATCAAAATCGCATTTTAAGGTGATTAGGACGGTGATATGGACAATATATAGGCCTAAGGGAGGTCCACTCGGTATATTCCTAATTAATAGGACTGATCATGAAAAAGTAAAGCTGATTGCTACAGTTTTTTTACTTAATTCCGCTTGCTTTTAATTTCAAATTGACTGATTGACAAAAAAATACTCAAAATATGAAGTGATTTTTGGTCCTGGTGGAGTATTCGCCGTAATCTGGGAGAYGTTCTGGCAATTCTAGTACGCCCAGCAAATTTACTATATATAATACCGATCAAATTTCCAATCGCATGCGCGAGTTTGGATGATTTCAGGGCCCACGATAACATGAAGTCTACTTACTGCGTTGCTAGTTTGTTAAGTTTTATGATCAGTTTTAAATTAAAGTTAGATGTTACCCCTCCTCCTCTATTGACTTATTACTTGCACTTTTCTCTTCCAATTTCAAGTCATTCATATCTCTTAAGATATGACTGACTTAAAAGACTATCTCCCCACTGCACCAACCTTAGTACCTTAAGCAAAGTAGACAATACAGCATTAATTTGGCATCCAATGTATTCCTCCCTATATAATGCTGGAAACTACAGGTAGAAATATCCAATCTTTAYGGCTATACTTGTATATTATCAGTCAAGGTTTTATCAAGATCAAGGTTTTGTCAAGACTGCCTATGCCTACATGAAACGCTGTTTTTTAAGATTATTAAAGTAAATCACGTGTTTCACTATTTTTAACGAAATACTGTCAGTTATGCGCGAGCAGAAGTTTGAAATATGAACGTGCAGCATTACATGCCTTGAGATCTGGTAATTCAAAACAAGTCCTGAACGCCTTATATCTATTAGTTAAGTAACCGTAATGGGTTTTCATATKTTTTTGGTCAGTTAAAAAACGAGGACATTTTAGAGAGCAAGAAAAGAGTGGCGTTTTACAAGATACGTGCAGAACGCGGACTGTCTATTATGACGTAATGATCCGACGAATTCTTTCTAGTTTGCTCAAGGATTTTAACAAAAATGGGAAGAACGCGCGTTCAAGCGATTAGATGATTCTAGGCACAAAGGGCGCAACAGTACTGTTATACAATTGGTCGTTTTAGATTTATATTTCATTTCCTTTCACTTTTCTTTGCTCAATTTCTTTTTTTTTCCTTTATAACTTAAAATAAGTAACTTGAAATAATTATCCATTAGCAGTCTGCTACCATTCGTTGGTATAGAGGTCGAGTCTTCCAGTATCTCGAGCCAAGTTTAATAAGCCTACTTTAATTATATAAACTTCACTGTAATCCTAGGTAATCTCTAGTGCGAAGAAGCAGTCATGTCAGGCTTCACATTTGAAAACAACACGTTACCATGGATACTCATACAGACTGTCCTATTTCTTGTCTTATAGTTATAAATTGATTATGAATATAGATTTAAGTTTATATAATAAACACTAAAATTACATGAGCGCTTTAAGAGATATATAGGATATTATACATGGGGGCGCGAMAATACGGATTTTATCTTGGAGTGTTCGAGTTAAAGGGGCGAATGAGCCGAGACATCAATTAAATACGAGAAGATAAAATTCCCATCTCCAATCGCCCATGTAGTGTTCTGTTTATTATTCATATTTTATAAGCCAAGAAATATGACARTTTTATACGGAGTATCCATGGTGTAACGTGTTATTTTACATTTGAAGTGACATTTTCACATGTGAAAGATATCACTTTTCGGCTAGAGATTTTCTGGGTTTTTTTCATGGACGTTTACATAATAACCGGATTTTGTCTTCTCGTGTTCGATGTAGCAGAAGATATTATATTTACCTACGCGCGCCAATGAATACCATCTATATACTAAACTTTGCTCGCATGAAGATCAGGTTTTATATAATTATCCRTTACGTATACATGTCTATCTATCTCATTTTCGTAAACTTGTTGTTTTCATTTGTGAAAATATARTGTTATCAGATGCTTATCCAGTCCAGATTCCCTGTTGGAGGTCCTTACATACAAAGCTCTCAGTATGATGTCACATGACATCAATATGACGTTCTAGCACTATATCAACATCATAATCTATTGTTTTAAACGCAAAAGAATATAGAAATGARAAAACCAATTCCCTTATCTGATAAAGTCAAGTCTAAACGATTTCAGTTTTTGTAAGTCTTCAAATTCATTTTAAATTCCCTGATGATGCTGTAGAGAGCGAAAACTCGGAGTCATTTATAATATTAAAACAAGATCTACTCTCAGCAGCTTCGTCTACATATGTACTTTTCTCTATCTTCAATTTTAATTTGGCTTTAAAAGTGACTTCACGGTTACCCTGTGACYCCCTGCAAATGCATGCCTGGTTATGTTTTCGAGCTCATTTGATACCTCTATTTAGGAGATGTCGGTTTTCAATGCAACTTTGCAAATGATGCGGTGCAGAGTGCGCGSTCTTTCTTTGTGCTAMATTTTCCAGCATCSACTAGTGCTTTATTTCACCGATAAGCCACTGTTTTTATCTAATGTTGCTTTTATAATAGTTAACAAATAGATCCTATATTCCGGGAGTCTGCACTCTGATAGACACACAGATGACGTCAGAGCGCGACGTAAACAAACAAACATACAAAAAAAYATATGCCACATGATCAGACGTCGAGCTAGTGGCGTAGTAGCTTTCCTGGCCACAAATYGTTGTCTTTTTTATACCTATTAAAGTAAAGACGAAGGGGAAATTGGAATATAATTGCTTTATATAATATACATCTAATATTTTCAAAGTGCGTGTAAATTCTTTGAAACGGTTTAGGAAAAAAGACTCGTGCATAGTGATTCTGACCAACCAGAACCCACGTTATATTGAAAGATGTGCAAATGGACTTCAATAACTCACAGAGTYCTTGATCGACCAATAAAAGAGCGCGTAATATATCAATTACTATATAAAGAAAGATGGAATTCTCTAAGTGCAATGAGAATAGAAGTGAAGCACTCCTCTTTGACTGAGCGCAAGTAAGAACGGAACTCTAGATGTATTTCATCTGCAATAAAAGGTCTAGCTATGCCAAGACAAGGGTACTCAATTTGTCAGCGCTATAACAGAGGGTTTTAGGATGCTCTAAGASACTCTGTTGTAACATATTCTACASGATAATTGRAAAATGGTAACATTTCTTAATTGCTGACAGGTGGACCCACTTGTGTAGAACAATGCGCGCACGTACARTGATCTTTTTGGGGACATTTCAAGATACAATTCCATATCTCTTAGCTGTTTTTATTTTTTTATTTTTGCGCGGCTTATCGGTGTACAAATCTCTTTGTTCMAATGATCATAATAATCCAATATTCAAAAGAYTGAAATTGAATTATTCTAGTGACGTCTTGCTCTATGATATCTTTTGTATTGGACAAGTTTAATGGATTCATTCTATGCCAACGTATTTTAATCCACATTACCTGCTAGTATTCATTGCAAAAAAAAGGCCATTATAATTATGATAAGAAGGGCTGCATTTCCTCGTTACCGCAAAGGCTCTAGTAAAAATATATTTAACTGTCACGTTCCATACACAGAAAAATTATACACGTTGTTGAAACACTCTATAAAAACATATTCATTTATTGCTTTCCACTCTCAAACAGGTCTATTTACTAGACGGCCGTTTCTAGCTTCAGATATGATGTTAAAGCCAAGTTCATCTTAATGTTTTTTTTTTTTGCGAATGAATGATTTATGAACAAGAGTCTGGAGCTAAAGCCGAATACCTCAATATCTTACATATAATTTTTAAACACTAGAATGAGTTATGCTTGAGCTGTAATTGTATATTCCAACTACCAAGACTTTAAGATTCCGCCGATAGATATCATGAAAAAAAATATATATTATATATATTTGGACTAAAGCTACTAAAATACACAGGGATTAATTTTAAATGATTGATAATAATCAGTTCAAGAATACTTACATAAAATATAGATCGAATTTATACTTCACGAGGACAAACAAATAATTTTACACCTTCTGTGTCAGTATCTAAAGCAGATATATATGTGAAATATACTTGAAAACGTGGAAATTATGTKTGCAAAATAAAATACTTTGTTGTTGATAAAAAAAAAGACTTCCGCGTAATGGCGCTCTTGACTTTAAAAAAAAATCCTGATGTTCAATCGCTTTATCCTTAAAAAGTATCTTTCTTTGACAATAAGGTCACTAAGAGCATCGGTCTTGCAGTAGTTACTCAGGCCTACCGCAATATCAATTCATGCGGAATAGATCTTAACATATCTGCTAAAATGGTAAAATTCAAAACATATTGAGTTATTGTATGACTTTAACTTACTAACAGACAATTCTATTCGATAAAAAAAAGCCCAGTACTCAAAAGGACTTACCCGTARTGATATCCAACTCTTGTTCAGTCTCAAAACACTGTGTAGTAGTCAGATGTGCCTATTGTAATTATATCYTGATCTTTTTTTTAGTCTCTTTTATAAGCTCATTTTCAAATACAACGTCAATACACTGAAACATAAACATGAGACCTGTCTGTGTGTTTATGTAATCAGTTTAAAYGTGTAGACCTTAATGTACGAAAACAACTTGATGTTAATTGTCTTCTGCCTCGTTTTCAGGATGCATTTGGTTGAAACATGACAGTTCTCATTACCTCATAAGTGTTCTACGAAAAGAGCGGCGAATATCACACCACGACTCCCACTCTAATGATATTGTTATCGCMGTACAGCTGATCGCGATACAATCAATCACCAAACAAACCAAAACCTTAGCTTGCTGAGTACAAGGTACATATGCATTTCTTAGCTTTGGTTTTCAAACAACGCCGGCAGCTACGTCCATGTTTTACTCTAATGTTTATCCTCAACTTCTAAGTGGAGGAAATAATTAGAAAAAAAAATCATTTTGAGTGTAATTCATCATTACACTGTGGCAATTTAAACTAAACGATTGAGAGCAATAAAAATCGCTGCCTCTTATGCTAAATTCTGTCGAAAGAGCATCATTTCTAAGCCTCCTCTCCCCCTCTCCTAAAAAAACAATCATGCCAAATAGCATTTTCTTAAGAGACCTTTTGTGCTTATCGCTTTACTTTTTTTTCAATGTCGTACTTGACGCTAACGAGTGTTTTAGCTTCTGTTACTTGATTGGGATAGATTTCCCCTACGTATGTAGTTAAAACCGTTTATCCTCTTTTTTCAAATTAATATTTTTCCGTCGTTTCTCCTTTATGATGTTTATACAGCGACATTAAAGACATCATCTCGATTCCTTTAT